TGGTGCAACTGCCGCATTTCCAACCAGGACCGCGTTTCGCTCGGTGAGAGCAGTATCGGCTTGCTGTTTATTTCTGTTCAATGGCTGCTGTCGATGTTTAGTTCGATTAATTCGATTATCCGTTTCTCTCAAACGATAGCCTAAAAATAGAAAATAGGAAAAAATAGAAGTGACAAAACTGACGAACTCAAAGACGGACTTTGTCCTATAAATATTATGTGCAACATACCAGACGACATCTCCTCGCCCGGCTTCTGGCTCGCAAAAGTGCCAGTCCCTCGCCTTTCGCAGGTCTCGCACTCGCAGTAACAATTGCCGTCACCAAAGAAATCCTCTCCATAGAAACATGTGATTTCCTCGCCGACTTCGATATCGCGTAATACCTTGACACATGCCGTGTCTCTTCCCGTTGCCACAAACTGTGAAAATAATTTTTCCAAGTTTACATAATAACTTTTACGCAATCACGTTCGAATTTCTTACCTTGCAATTCGCTCTACAGTCATGGTTTATATATGCAGCCGGTCCCAACCATAATTGGGCACAATTCTTTCGACAACTAAACATCACAGAGAAGTCATTTTTCCCAGGATGCAGCAACGCAGCTTCTTCCTAAAAGCATAGAAAAATGATATATATTAAATAAAAATAAACAAAAAATACAGAAATAATGAAAAAACTTTTTAAAATAAATGTTTCTTTTTTATACACTTTTTGCAAAACTCAAACCTTTTCACTTAGCTCCGCTATACAACCGACGAGACAAGAGATTTTGTCGTGCTTCATCCATTTCTTCGTGGCGCATATCTTAGCACCTTTTTGTCCTTCTAGGCTATATCTGTAGCACGGCTCTATGGCAAAGCCAGAATCCTTATCAAAAACTCGCAGGTATCGCTTGATCTGTAAAAGAAAAGAACTATTACACACATACAATATATTTCTTATATCATAAAAGCAATGCAAGTTTCTTGCTAAAATAAAACAATTTGATTATATAAAACAGAGTTGCTATACATGTGTAACTTACGTGATTCTCCAGATTAATTTGCTGCTGTTTAGACTTCGTGTGGGGAAGTCGTGCGCCCCAGTCTCCACCCATTAATTTCTTGTATGCCTTCTCATAATTTTGAGTTTGAATAAATTCACAGATGATTTTACGCAGCTCCTCCTTATTCGCCTTCAATGGTCTGTACCTGTCAAGCAGAATGGAACTTTAGTAAACAATTAAGTATAAATAACTTGCAAGTTGAAGATATTTTCTAGCAAGAGGTGAGGCATTGACATAATGTAACAGTGAATTGTTTCATCTTTGTTTAACATTGACAGACAATAAGAGTATAATAATTCATAAGAATATAATGATTCGCTGTGTTACACTATGACATCTGCATCTCTTTCTGAAAAGCATTTTAATTTATCGATTTAGTCAAACAGTGATACCTGATATTCATCTTATGGGTGGTAAATCCTAAATAAGGATCCAGCACAAGAGACGTAGCCAAGTCGTCATTGTCGGAGAGCTCTTTGGGTGTCATTCCACATCCTCCACCGCTGTTGGGTTGCATCTTTGCACCCACTGTGCCACCTAACCTTCGCTCCTGCTTTCTTACTGCAGTTGCTGAGGCTTGAATCGACAAACAATAATCCACCACCATTCTGCGACACTGACTTTCACTGAAAAAGAGATAATCAAATAAAATGGAAGGAAAAAAGAACGCTTCTATGAGAAGATTTTCCCTTCCCCTGATTTAATTGTGTTGTAAGTTAATAAGATTTTCCAAGCAGGTTTAGGTTAATGTACATTAATGTACGCTCAATGCATTTTTTTTACGTATTGGAGGTTAATGTACCCCAGATGAAATTCTATTGGGACATCAGGCTTGGTGATGTACGTTGCGTCGGTATCGTTCCGCGCGGTCTCCTGGAGCGACCGAATCGACCAGTTGGGAAAACACCATTACTATTGAACCTATGAATGACTCCCTCAAGTCCACAAGCGTAGAATACGAACAATCCAAAACGGTATGCCACACGGATGCATGGCATTGTCTAGTTCTGATCGACGGCTTTAGAGAGACCTAGCGACATTTCTCAAAGAGATATCGCTCAGACGCTCAGCACCACCCGATAACATCGCGCTTCTTTTAACGTAACCTACTCAGCTGTTACTCAGGTATCCAAAACACCGCTCGGCACGAGCAACCCTGTCGTTTTCCCTCCCTCCCTTCCACCGTCCTCCGCCCTTTAAACGCACACGCCCGACTCCCTTTTCGTGACGCTATCGCATCCACATCATTCGCCTCGACAACGAAAACGCACACCGGATCTGAACCTGACCCTGAACCTGAATTCCGAGCCCTCCGAGGGCGGGCCTGACGAACCAAGCCCACCGAAACGAGCCACCCGAGCACGTCCGAGGAAGACGGAGGCAATCGCACGCGGGACATTCACCGCCCGTCGCGAATGGGTTCTTCAAGCACACCGCGTCTCCCGAACCGAACGATTCCCCTTAGGACGGTGGGACGCGACGTCGCGGCGACAGCGTCGTCTCGCGATCGGAGCGGAGCATCAGGGTTGTCCTCCCCCTCCCCTCCACCCTCTCGGAAATCAGCGCCACGGACGGGACGAACCTCGTCGGGTCCCTTCGTATCGACCGGGACACAACGGCGGCAGCCTATAGGCGGACCTATAGCGCGTCGACATAACGGTCCTCTTTTTCTCGAATGCTCTCCGATGCTCTCGGAGGACGGCTCGTCGTGGCGTCGCGTCGCGACTTCTCGCCGTCGTCCGAGGGCGAGAATGATGATGACAACGACGGAACGCCGTGTACGAGAACACAGAATTAATGGCGGGGGGGGGGAGAGGAAACCAAGGCACACTTGGACGGTGCGATGTTCGTTTTTTTTTTTTTTTTT